ATATATATATCATTTATCTTTACATTTTTTATCTCATTTTGTTAATTATTGTTATTTTATGTCTTGCGTGATGGCCCCCCTTTGCAAGACTAATAAATGTAGATGTAGATGTAGATGTAGATGCAGCGATCAAAGGAGATATAAATAACCATGCTCTCATGAGGCAATGTCGCGCGTTATTTGTTTTTTTGTTTTAGGGCTGCAGATATGTCACGAATTTCAGAAAATGTACATTTTTTTTAAAAACATACTTCGACAACCTCTGAGGGTACAAAATCTCCTGTTTAATACTAAATTTTAAAATCACCCCAAGATTTGCATTTTACAGCTCAACTCAACCTTGCAATTTAACGGTTGATCGGTCTTTTCGCCGTATTATCGACGAAGCAAACCTCGATGGTCCATTGATTTCAGCATCGCTATATTACGGTTGATGTTCGGCTTCTGGGGAATATATGTATTGGCTCTTTACGTGACAAGGTAGTATGATAATAATGGTATAGAATGTGTAACGACGTGAAAAAAAGAAATATTAGGTTTTTCATCTTTTCAACTTACTTTTCTTTGATCGTGGATTAAAAGCTATAATTTCTTTGTGAAAGCCCGGAAAAGAAAACTCCTGCGCGCTTACATTGCCAGCGGGTGATCATATGAACTTGTTGTCAGAAGTCACGCGACCGATCTTGGAAAGATTTCTTCCCTGTTTATCAGCGCCGAAACCTCAGACCATCGCAAGGAAGTATTGGATCGCCGACCATATCGAGAAGGAGGAAAATGGTTGATGACACTGTTTCGTGCAACTATATTGAAATTGAATGCTCTTACTTGAATATGATTCATCGATGCTTAGAAATTATAAGGACACAGAGCGCCTTGTGTTCCATCGATCAGCGTGGACTTGAGTGGAGTATTCATAGATCAAGTGATCACTCTCATTCCTCTAATTCAACTGTATTTTATTCAATATGCAAGATGACATAGTTACCCTACAATACTCGTAATCAGTTATTTTATGTTTACTTAGGATGGTAGATTTACGGCATGAATGGAAGTTACTGACAGTGGTGACGCTATAGGGCCTCATGTAACGTAATACAGTACAAATTGCATGCTTGTTATAGCAAAGGGGTATTTCAAGGTTGCTATTTTCTTGTATTTTAGCTCGGTTTTTTATTTTCCAGCCAAACTATTAAACAATGATCAAATTTAAGTAGGATGTGCACTTTGTTTTCACGAGTTACTGGAGTGGAAATCGACTAGCTTGGCGTGAAAGGGTGAATGTTTCTTCGTCGATTTACTGAAATAGTTCCGTGACCTCCAAATACTGAAACCGTCATAACAGTCTTTTTTGGTCTCTCGTAAAGTTAAATAGTAATAATGGCGGTCAGAATTATTTGATAAAGAAGCTGCCACTGTATGCGGTTGCAAATTGACGTGAAGTTTATTTGACTTGCTGCCAGGTAAAAACATAGCTCAGGCAAGGCAGCATATTTGGGTTGTTCATATAATTTATAAGGGAGAAAAGGCATAAATTGCATAATACACTGGGCGAAAAATCAGATTTGACGTCAGACAAATGCAGTCCAAATGTGGTTCAAATGTGATGTTTGTCATATTTATCAGTATTTGACTTGAAGACAAATATGACATTTGCCCTAAAGATAAATAGGATAACTGTGCATTTGCTTTTGGGTGTAAATATGGACAAATGTGTTGTAAATCTGAATTAAATATCATGATTTATCCTGCTCTAAACAAGGACAAATGCGTTAAAGATGACATTTCTAAGAACAAATTCAGGACAACAGTAGAGCAAATATCATCTTTGTCATAGAATAATCCAAAATTCTCTTCCCCTCCATTGACCCCGTTGTCAATTTGCGTAAAATTGCTTTTTCCACATGTTATTTCAGTATTTGTGTTGCAAGTACGTAATACACTGCATTTAATAAAATGTCAGAAATTTCATTGTTAGTTTAAAATGGAATCGCATTTACTTTGATTAACGCAATCCTCTTATGTCCAATCATCTCACCCACAGTCCTGACTAAAATCAACACACATAAATGTATAGTAAATGGAAAATTTATTTAACATTTCTCCTTTTTTGTACAAACAAAACCATTTCTGTTAAAGAAAATTAACATTCAATAAATAAATATATTTAATCAGCCCCTGTACACTTATATAGATATACCATATATGTGATACAGAATATAACCTCAATAATGGGGAAAAGCTACAAGGAAAGTTTAAAATATAACATCATTGATTTTAAGTCTTTACAACACTCCTGCCAGCAGGACAATCTCGATAAAACATTTTCACATGAACTGTACTTAGTGTGTTATAATTCATAAAGAGGAGTTACTTCCAAAAAACTCCTACTCAGGTACTGCCTGCCCTATCAGTTTCAATACAGTAGGTTCTCTTTTTATGAGGCATTAAAAGACCCAACATCATCGCAACATACCAATTAGTCTTTGATCACATCACCAACACAGCTAATCCTACAAATTACTGTCAAACTGCTGGTAATTTTTTTT